ATCTTCTCAAAGGTTTTTGTCCTTCTTCTTGTTGTTTTTGGTCTTCTTCTTCCTCTTGTGGAATATGATGCTCCCCTTGCTCATCAACCTCTTTATCTACACCTTCCGTGTTCCATTCTTCACCTGTGGAAGGATTAGGTATAGGTACAATAGGAGTAGTAACAAAGTTGGTAACTGTGCCATTATCATTTTTGGTCTTTGTTGATTGATCACTATCAATCCCGACAACATCTTCTCTAAAGATCACAACTCTGCTTCTGATGAACTTTTTCCTTTCTGGGTCCCACAATCTGTAGCCGAATTCTTTTTCTCCATAACCGATGAAGATACAGGGAATAGCTTTGTCATCCAGCTACGTTCTCTACTCCGTTGGCACATGTGTAAAATCTTTACATCCAAACACTTTCAAATGGGAGTAGGACACCTCTTTGTTGGTCCAGACTTTCTCTAGAATGTCAAACTCCAATGGAACTAATGGACTTTTGTTAATCAAGTAACATGCTGTGCGAGTTGCTTCCCCAAAATGACTTAGGTAGTTTCGCCATTTTGCGCATATTTCTCACTTTTTCGACAATGGTGCGATTCATCCTTTCAGCTACACCATTGTGTTGTGGGGTTCCAGGAACTGTCTTCTCATGTCTGATTCCATGGCTTGAGTAGTAGTCTTCAAACTCCTTTGAAATATACTCTCCTCCATTGTTGTCTTGAGACGCTTTAATTTTTACCTGTCTTCCTTTCCACCAGAGCATGGAATTTCTGAAAACTTGAAATACCTGGTCTTTTGTTCTCAAGAAATAAACCCACAATTTTCGTGAAGTATCATCAATAAATGTGAGAAAATATTTGTTACCTCCCATTGATTCTACATCCATTGGACCACAAATATCAGAATATACTAAATCAAGTATATTCGATTTTCTTCCATGAGTTGCTTGAAACGATACCTTGTGTTGTTTTCCAAATAAACAATAATCACAAGAATTTAGAGTTGTACATTTTTCAAATGAGATGAGTGACTTCTTGGATAAGATCTGCAGTCCCTTCTCACTCATATGGCCCAATCTCCGGTGCCATAAATTTGCAGGCGTATCATCTACAGCCGCATGTAATCCATCTTCACATATATTAGCGGTTTTCTTGAACAATATGTAGGGAGCAACTCCTTTAGCAATCACCAATGATTCCTTTGTGAGTCTCCACTTCCTATTGGCGAAGTGATTCTCGTACCCGTCTCAATCTAGAGCGATCCCTGAAATCAAATTCATTCGCGGATCTGGTACGTGCCGCACATCTTTTAAAACTAATGTGAATACGACATTTGTCTTGATACAAATGTCGCAAATACCCACAATCATTGAGTGACTGGTATTTCCCATCTTGGCCATCCCAAAGTCTCCTGCTTTGTAACTACAGAAGAATTCTCTTACCAGTGTGGCATGGTAGGATGTTGTTATGTCAACCACCCATTTTGACTCTTGGCTTGCTTAAGTGCATGCATTCCTCCTCCTCGTGAACAAAGAGAACCATCGAATCATCATTGTGCACTGCAGCAGTTGTGTTGTCATCATTCTTCTGGCCACTGTTCTTGCCTCGACCTTTCTTTGGGCACTCTCTTTTGAAGTGACCGGGGTTGATTGCAACTGTAGCAATTCATACCCTTTGATCGGTTCCTGGACTTTCCACGAGCTTTGGATTTATCACGGCTACTCGATGCTCTATAAAAACTTCTTCCTCTATTTTCCATGATAAGAGCATGCCTCTGATTTTTGGGCTTCTTTCTCATCTTATCATTGAGTAGGATGGTTGATATGACCTCCTATCGATGGCATCTCTACCATGTAGGATGGTTGTTGCCAAATTATTATAGGAAGATGGCAACGAGTTTGGAAGCATGATAGCCTTATCTACTTTAGTGATTGTTTCTCCAAGGTTTGCCAGCTATGTGATTAGTCCATTGAACATATTTAAATGGGACAAGAAATCTGTACTTTCACTCATATGGATGGCATAAAGCTGCTTTCTTAAAAACAACTTGTTTATTAAGGATTTGGACATGTATAGACTTTCTAGTCTTTTCCAAATACCACATGCACTATTTTCATCCCCGACATTATTGAGTACTTCATTAGACAAGTGCAGTCTGATTGCACTAGCCGCCTTCTTATCCATATCTTCCCAATCCTCGACTTTCATGGTTTCTGGTTTTGCCTCTTTTCCATCTAGTGCAATGTCTAATCCTTGTTGGATGAGTTGGTCCTTCATTCTTCTTTGCCATATGGAGAAACCTTCATTATCGTTGAATCTTGTTACTTCATACTCTACTCCTGACATTTTTTTCGTCACAGAGTAAAATTGACTGTAAATAATATTTCTGTGAAAGAGCAGAACCTGTGCTCTAATACCAGTTATTGGGAAATAAATCCCACAGAAATAATATTCACGGTATGCGATTGTAACAAATGCAGATTACTAAAATACAGTAACCAACGGTAATAATAAGAGAAACAAGGACACCAGATTTTACGTGGAAAACCCATATGAATAAGGGAAAAATCACAACACGAGAGGATCAACTGAGTTTCGCTATAACAAGGATTTTACAATTTGTGGTACCGAGTAAAATACTCCAAGACCACTAAACACTCAAAAGAAATAAACCACTTTTGATTTTTTCACCTTACTACAATACCACTCAAACTCTCTATATTTTCCCTCACAGAGTATTCTGCTTCTTACTTGGTAAATCACTCTCTTTCTTTTTGTTTGGTATGTTTAAAAATTGAGAGCAAGACACCTATTTATAGTGCTTAGGATTGCTTCATTGATGTCATCAATGATGTCATGTTAATGGCAAAAGTCAAATATTACATTGTGAAACCAAGGAATGATTTGCCATAAAATCTTCCTTACTATTTCTTTAGTTGGCTTGACATTTCAAAGCCAAAGGAAGATGTCTTTCTTTCACATGGGATGGACCCATCATAAGCAGTATACCTTAGATCACAGTATGTTCATCTTTCGCAGAGAGAGTTCTATCTTGATTCTCCTTATTTATGTTGACGACATTGCTATTTTTGGATCCTCCAAGATGCTTTTTTTCTGAATTTATAGTATCCATGAAATCTGAATTTGCAATGAAAGATCTTGGTCCTCTTCACTATTTTCTAGGCGTGGAGATAGTTCACAATAGTGATGGGGTTCTTTTGTTGCAACGGAAGTATATATTGGACCTTTTACATAGGTTCAATTTGGCTGAAGTTAAGCCAGCTTGTACATACTCCTGTTTACAGCAAACTTGATTGGCAATTTGTAGCTACCACTTCTTGATGATCCTTCTCTGTATCGCCGGATGGTTGGAAACCTTGAATATTAATCCTTTACACGACCTGATATGCAATTTGCTTTGAATACGGCTTCAGAATTTCTGCACCAACCTCGACTAGTTCATCTTCAAGCTGTTAAGCGGATTTTCTGTTATCTTAAAGGAACCCATGCTTATGGTTTGCAGCTCCACAAATAGTCCTCCATCTCTTTAACATTATATTTAGATTCGGACTGGGCACGCTGCGCAGCAACTCGTTGATCAACATCTGGATTTTGTATCTTTCTTGGGAACAATTTGGTCTACAAAGAAACAACCAATTGTTTCCTGGTCAAGCACATAAGCCGAATATCGTGCTTTGGTTGTTGCCACTGCTGATGATACATGGATACAGTTCATCTTATGCGACTTGGGTTTATATTCGTACTCCTATTCTTGCAAAATGTGATAATATTGGTTCCATACATCTTGCAATTAATCCAGTGTTTCACTCCACATCTTGGAGTACCATTTTATTCGTGACAAGGTTAGCCGCAACAACTTGCATATGTCTTCACTAAAGTTGTCTGCTAAAATGCTCTTGACAATCTTCATGTTCGTTCCTCCCCTTCAGATTGAGGGAGGGTGACAAGGATATTATTGTAAATAGTATTCATATACACACTTTGTAGTTAGTTTTGTATTTGTTTATCAGTTTCATCTTTTGTATTTTATATAAATAAGATTTCATTTTGGCCTTTGTAACTTATGAAGGCCTTTGCAACTAATGTGCCACATGTTGTTCTTTTTATATGAGTACATATAGTACATAATTTCTTCTCAATTTTCTATTAGTATGTTGGAAGCAGTGTTTTTACGGTGAAATTCAAAAATAGCCAGATTTACAACTGGTCGTTCAAAAATAGTCCAGTTTCAAAAGTAATCGATATTTAGCCACTTTTCATGTAAAGATAAATCTGAGCGAAAACACTGTTCAAAACCCGAAAAATACGCCAACATATTATGTTGGAGTTCCGGCATAAGTATACTTGAACTCCAGCATATTATACTGGAGTTCCAAGATAAGTATGCTGGAACTCCAGCATAATATGATGGAGTTCCAGCATAAGTACACTAGAACTCCAGCATAATATGATGGAGTTCCAGCAAGTGTACCGGTCCAGCATAATATGCTGGAGTTTGGAGCACCGGTGCTCCAGTCTCCAGTATATTATACTGGAGCCAGCAAAGTATACCGGTCCAGCATAATATGCTGGAGTTCATACACAGGTGCACTGAACTCCAGTATATTATGCTGGATGGGTCTCTGCTGCAGTAAAATAGTTGCTATTTTTCATTGACTTGGTAAACGCTGGCTATTTTTGAATGACCAGTCCGAAAACTGACTATACCGTGCTATTTTAACGTGTTTTTTCCGTTAAAAGGGATACAAGTCGACATCTCACATTTAAATGACACACGTATTGCCAATAGTTGCATATTTTCTTATTTTCTTCATTTATTATTTAATTTTATTTTCATGATTAACCTACATGGGTGATCCTAATTATACTTTCAATTCAACCCGATACTTTTGACACATATTGATACAGAAATTTAGCTCCAAAGTAGCTCAAGTGAGTATGAGCCATTCTAAGGAGAAAATTTTTTAGACTTTAGTTTAATTTTCAAATCTTTTTATTTCATTTTTAGCATACTCTAGTTAGGAGTATAAAGGCGTTACTGCTAATATATTGTGATGATAAATCTGAATTTGTGTCTCCTCTCGTCTCTCTCAAACCTCTCTTCTCTGTCTCTATCTCTTGAAATTCTCTTCTCCTCTGATCTCCTTCCCTCTGCTTCTTATCCTTGTTCTTCGGTACCGATAATTTGGTATCAATTGGTATAGAGCCAGGTTGCTCTCGGCATGTGGACTGAATATTAACAAAGCATTAGTTGAAGATTCTACAATAGAAAACATATCGCATTTATGCGACGCATCAGCCGACCAAACAATGACTCTATTGGCTGAGATTCAAAGGCTTTTTCAGAAAATTAAAAGACAAATTGAGCTAAAATCTGAAGAGTCATGCAAATACTACTGCATGCCATGCTATGTTGTTTGCTCTAGTGGGAGGTACTATTGCCTAAACATGAAGATCTCTGCTTGTGTACAAAAGTGGTAAGTTTTAACCTCGAAACTTCTCCTTCAGGTTCCGTCCTTATAGAGAGTGCTGAAGTTGTGGAAGTTATGTTCTTAAATGTACTTTTTATGGAAAACGAGAGTGATAATGATATAGATGCTTTGGGAAACACATTCCTAGCTAAACATTTTGTGGAAGATGAAAGCGAGAGTAATGCTCACAATGTGCTTGGTAAAATGCCAAAGCTAGATTATAATTCTGATGAGAGTGACTTGGATGCTTTAGAAGACATGTATCTACATGCACTATATTTCAGCATCTCTACAACTCCATGAATAGTGCAGCATGGGTTTTTAAGTTACAAAGGACATCTCTTATCCTTTGTAACTGACAAGGAGGTGGGAGAAGTACATGTTAGCAAGCTTTGGAGACTGGTTATTTGATTTTATCTTTCCTGTTGCAATGTGTTCTGGTGCTCTTAACTTCTCTGGTTCTGCCAGTCTAAGGAATGGAGCTGCAAAGTCAGAGATATGGTGAATAATTTGCAATTCACTTTTGACCCAGCTGGTATATTTATTGGCTTGGAGAACCAAGCTATTGGGTTGCATTTTCAAAACCTGGACCACTTAAAAATTTGCACCAGCAAACATACAACTTGAAGGGATATGTGTCATCATTCTTCTCTACTCAATTATGGAGTCCAGCATATGGAAGCAAGTTCAGCTCTAGATGTTCATGCAATTATTATTCGTCTCTTGGTGGAGGAAGGTGCACTACACCTTCTACATAATCAACTAGACAACTGTTGGTATATGCTTAGTATTAATGAAGTGGAGTGTTGTCTTCTTGCTATGAAATTGAGTTACTTGTTTGTTGTATTATCCTGAAATTCAAGGTGTTCCACATCAATTTCCATTTGTCCACGCGGCTCCTTAATGATGTTCTGTTACTTGAGTGATATATTCTAGAGCAACTTTGATGTTTCTACACCAAATGATCATATAATTGAGCTGGAAGGTATATTCATATCACCAAGAGGTGCACTTTACTGTTGAGATAACCTTTATGGAGTGGAGCATAGCTTTTAGATGGGACACATATTATCCATTCTCCTTGTTACAAGATATAACCAGAAATAATTGACTTTTGTGTGCTATGCTTGGAGAACATCTTTTGAAATTTCCTTTTGATCCTGGTGGCTCCAGTTCTACATTTACCATCCTTGAGGACAAGAATGTTGTTTAACAGGAGCGTATTGATATAAAAATTAGGGACTTAGTTCGAAAGTAGCTTAAGTGAGTGGGAGCCATTCTGGCGGAAAAGTTTGTTAGACTTCGATTTAATTTCCAATTCCTTTTTATTTTGTTTTTAGCATATTTCACATGAGACTAGTTAGGAGTATAAAGCTACTACTACTACATTGTAATTTCATTGAGTAATGATAAATATGAATTTTTCCTCTTGTATCTCCTCTCTTCTCTGTCTCTATCCCCTGAATTTCTCTTCTCCTCTGACCTCCCCCTCTTATTCTCTTCCCTGTTCTTTGATACCAATAATTTGGTATCAATCATAGATATGTAGTGAAAAATTACTAGAATTTCAATAAACTAATATTAAATTATGAATTCGATAAATTTTCAGATTGGAAACCTGAAGAATGCTCCAAGAGTGAAGTTGGTGGAGGAAGATAGGAGGGTTAAACTGATGACTACTTACACTCCGCAGTTTCTGGGGATACCGGCAGTATGGACGCAAGGAGGAGGAGATAGAAACATCGGGGAAGGAATTGTGATCGGCTTTGTTGATTCTGGCATTAACCCAGACCACCCCAGCTTTGCTTATGATCCCACAACTACTACTAATTATACTCCTCAACATTTTTCTGGAGCATGTGAGGAAGGTCCTTTATTTCCTGAAACTTCCTGCAATGGTAAGATAGTATCTGCTAGGTTTTTCTCAGCTGGAGCTCAAGCTACTGCTGTTCTTAATGCCTCTGTGGATATTCTCTCACCCTTTGATGCTGTTGGACATGGCAGGTAAAATTCATAATACTCTGGTGGTCAAACTTATCAAATTCTCCACCCATCATATACGTACTTCCTTAGTATTTGTCTAGTATATTGCTCTGTAGATTGGTCGATTGAACTTTACATGTTAATTTAGGTTAATTAAATCAGTTGTAAGTATCAATTTTAATACTTCTCTATCGTGCTAGCAATCTGTTAATCAATCAGTAGTAAAATTTCAGGCAAATGGTCATTTTCTAATCCCCAAAGAAATAAACCTCGTGCTACCTATGGGGCTTATGTTAACGAATTTTTAGATTAGTTTATGGAAAATAAATTAACTTTAGGAAAACATATTCCTAAAGCAGAAAAGGGAAAGGGAAAGGAAATTTTAGTTTGAGACGTGTAGAGTATGATTTTGTCTTCAAGTTTCTGTTAGCCTATACCTTTTTATTAGTATAATTTTGATTTTTCCTTTCCAGTCATGTAGCTTCAATTGCAGCTGGAAATTTTGGAGTTCCGGTGGTAGTGAATGGCTTGTACTACGGACAAGCAACTGGAATGGCGCCGCGGGCAAGGTAGGTATATATAGAAAAACATACACAGAGGCAAAGGACTACACACACACACACATATATATATATATATGATGACAAGTGGGTCTTCACTAATGGATTGCTATGGAATTGCTTATGACAAACAGGATTGCAGTTTATAAAGCTATTTATCCAAGCATAGGAACTCTTTCAGATGTATTAGCGGCAATTGATCAAGTAAGTATTACGTGCACTTTGCACCTGTCACTACACAATTCTCAAAGGTTGCAACCTCCACTTAGCGAGCATATATCCGGCCAAGTGAACTGGATAATTTATCATTACAACAAATCATAAGCAGTTAGTATAAGATAAAGCTTTATTATCCAAATGCACATCCACAGAAATAATAATAATAATAATATTAGAAGATTAGGAATCTCAAAAGGAAACCCACAAGCTAAATCAAGAAGCATTTTTTATAAATATAAGAGTACAAATGAGTTGTAGGGACATAGCCTTAAATCATATACTGCAGAAAAGAGAGGATGAAGTGTACTAGTAGCCACTTTTAAGCATGCTATTTAAAATATATTTACAATTTACAATATATTTAAGTATCATGTATTTTTGAGCTGCTAATTTAAAATTCAGGACTTAATATCCTAAATTTTTGAGCTGCTAATTTGAAATTCAGGATTAAGTGTCATGAATTTCTAAACTGCTAATTTGAAATTTAGGACTAAGTGTCCTAAATTTCTGAATTGCTAATTTAAAATTTCGTACATAAAATTCGAGTACACAATTTTAGAACTTAACGATACGACGTCCTGAAGTTTGAACTTTGAGGTTTAAACTTCAGGTTCTGAAATTTAAGCAAATTGACTAATCTTTAAATACATTGTATACCGTGAGTATATTTTAAATATTATCCTTAAAAATGGCTACCTGGTGTCATTTCCAAAAAAGAAGTCCCTAGCCTTCACAGACCGAGTGGACAGCCCACCAAAGATGATTGCGTGGAAAGATCAACTAATCCTCAAGTTTTGTTAGCTACGATATCTACAAGAAGCATTAAGTTGTAAGCCATGAGGACCTAATAAGATCATCAACTCACCCCCTTTCATGCCCCTGGGGACAAGTCTTTTAAAAGTTTATTGTGCATAATTATACGCAAAATAAACTTACGTCTCAGTATAAAAAGCATACACACATCCACAACATTCACAGAGTATACAGTACAAATGAAACCATAAGCTCATCACGATGCATGCATATAATACTAACTCATTAAGGTCCGCTAATCCTACATATTTTACCCGCATAGCCATAGTTTTGTAGATGTGCAATAAAATGCCACATGTCTTACATTCAAAGCAAATCAATGCGAAGTGCTAGGAGTGCAGGACCCTAAAATCCCACACGTCTTAAGGTAAAACATAATATAGCTGTAAAATATTATATTTAGCACTTGCTCATCCCTACACCAACTAGGCATTTAAAATATTTCAATGCATTTATGCAACTCTTACGAAACATGTCTTTAGACAACAAGCAATTAAAAAGTTAAAAATTTCACCTACTTCAAAAGCAGTCAAAGCACAAAGTGTGTCTATTGAATTTCGTGTTCCTTTTCGGATGAACACCTCCAATCTATACAAATATGCAATAATGTAATCAACTACCAAATAGGACTCACTTTAATATTTTTGGGTTTAGTCAAAGTCAATGGTCAAAATTAACTCTTGGCTAAAAATATTAAATCGTGAGACCTGATAAATTTTTTAATTAAACATAATCCAAGGAGTCTAATAATGTAATTAGTTCTCAATTGGGGTTAATTTATCCATCCAATTTCTTACTTTTTCATTTGGGGCTTTTTAGGGCTAAGTTCCCTATAGTTCATGCTAAGTTCCATGTTTTGGAAGCCTAAATTTGTATATAATCATGTAAAGAACTCAATAAAAGGTTTAGGATCATTACCTTAATATGATCCTCCTTCAAAACCAGGTATGATCTATGCGTTTTGTACCCCAAAAGTGAAATAAAGTATGAAATTTTGGATTTACTATTCCTTACCCAATGAACTTGTCATGTTGAGGAAGAGGCAAACCCGAAAATAGAAAAGATAAAGAACACCAAATTTAACATGAAAAATCTTTCAAATTGAAGGTAAAAATCATGGGATCATAAAGATCCAAAAAGCTCAACCATAACAGTATGAGTATTACAAAAGTTTTTCAAATTGGATACATAACAAATACCAAACACGGAGCAACAATAGCAATAAAAGAAAACAAATCAATTGAAGAAAGATGAGAAATCACAAAAACGAAGCTGTTGTTCAGGGCTCTAAATTGTATACTACAGGCCTCCAAATCCGGTCTCCACCGTTCAAATCAAAGACTAAGATGTCAAGAACACTCAGTGAAAAGTTCAGCCCAATCCAACGGTAAATGAATCGGAATACGTGATTGGAGCTGGTTGGTCGGAATAAAATTTGCAGCAAACAAACTCTTTTTCTTCTTTCTTCTCTCATGATGGAAGCTCTCTCAAAAATCACTCTTATGTGCTAAAGTCTTTCAAAGACTAATATCAATGAGCATAGAACAATTCTCCAAGGTTGCTCTGCTTATAGATAATGAGTGGTGCTTTCTCTTAAGGCCAAAACCAACTCCAAATAAAAATGGAAACCAAAAGAGATAGAATTAGGCCATTGTGCCTTTGGTTGAACAACGTGGGCATGAGCCCAACAAACTCCCCCCTCTAACCGGGGGGACAAATATGTCTTCAAGTAAATGAACTGTTGACAGACTTCATTAAACCAATTTTCTTCAGAACTCATGATTATTTGCAACCACCGCTTCCGTCAGCCTCAAATAATTTCTCTTACATGACCATTTTTATCCAATGATGCTTTCTATTTATATGTTTGGTCTTAGAATAAAAAGTGGAGTACTTGGTGAGACGGATAACATTCTGATTAGCACAAAATAAGATGTATCTATGGGTATGGAGGTGCCCATCCAATGGTCTCTCCCAAGTATAAGTTGCGGTCTGTATCTGGCTTGTCCTCTAGGCCTACTCCCACCTCGTGGGAAATACTGCACCTCCAGTGAAACATCATCATTTGCCTGTGTCTAAACAAGAATACAAGAAAGGATTCACACATAAATGTTCATCAAATCTTCATCAAGTTCATAATGATGATACAGTATTTGAAGAGAATAAATATCAACAAGAAGTAGTCCAAGATACTAACATTCATATCCCAGGTGCCAAGAAAGCTTCCCAAAGTTATTTCATCAAGTCCATCAATTAGTTAATTTCTTCCAACATATATGTCATGCAATCACATCAAACATGATCAATTAACAAGAAGGACTGAGGCCCTAAATCTAGTAGGGTCGAAACCCAATAATCAAGAGAATCAAGAACCATTTTGAAAGTGGCTTTTCTATTCATTTTAAAATGGACAAAGGTCCATAGTAAGATGAAATGTGAATCCAAAGTCAAGATGGGCAAGATCCGGAGAATATCAAGAGGCACTGCCAAAATTAGTGACGAAGTCACTATCACAAGGACAAAATCCTAACAAGAATGCAATAATGTTCATGCAATTCATATATGTGGGCGAACTAAAACATTTAAAAAAATATGTATTACTTCACTAATATCCATAAGAATTTAACATGTTGTTGACCCAAGTATATTGTATCCTCCATGGCAACCAAATGAATCCAAGAATACCAAAACATACTTCCTCATTTAGTAAGCAAATAGGGTACTAAAGTAATAACAAACCAATATAACTACAACTTAAATTAAACTAAATTTTAACAAGGCTTAAACTATTTAAAGTACCCCAAGAAAATAAATTAGATAAATATTTTTAAAGATTATGTGCAAACCTTAGAGTTTTAGTGTTTCTAAAACTCAAACAACCACCAAGGACGTAAAAATCCTCTAAGTCAAGAATCAAAACTTTTTCCTAAATTGTTCTCCTTAGCTTGAACGAATGTTTATTGTACCTAAAACACGTAATCAAACAGTCACTTAAGGTCTGAAATTTAAAAACGTTTAAAGCAAATGATGATCAATATCAAAAGGCGGACAAAATGGGGTCACAACTATTCTAATAAAAATTTGGCAGGAACTCTACACTGCATTTCAGCCCCCTTTTGACATAGTAGATAGAAAAACTAGATATTGTGGTCTTCATAACAATTGTAGGTCTATGTCTTAGCTTTCTACAGAATTTTGAAGCACTAAATCCGAGGTTTAGATAAAATGTTATGCTCAAAATACTTAACTGCTATCCAGCTCAAAAATGTAATCAATTTCTTGATTTCAATGACTTAAATTTACCATCCAAAAGCTAAGTAATTCACATATAGATAGACCAAGAAGCTTGCCACAACAGCAAGAACAAATCTTCTCAAACTAAATCCTAGGGTTCCAAGCAAATCCTTAACCCCTTTTGACTTTTGAAAACAAAATACACATCTTTCTTCGAGGGGTAGAAAATAAGTTTTCTTTGCAATAAAACTTGGGTTTAATGAGAAAAGAAAAGTGGCACATTAGTATGGGTGTTGGGCTTCTTCAATGAAGAGTTAGAGGAAAAAAGAAAAAAGAGGTAGGCTTGGAGAAAATGAAGGGTTGCCATACCTAAATGGTAGGTATCGCGACCCGAATCCCAGTTGTAGGGTCGTGTTGGCGCCTAACGTCCACTTGCTAGGCAAGCCAATATTCGTTACTCTACTATTCATTTTAACAATTTTAAAAATGCATATTAATAAGAAGGTAAAGTTGTAAAACTTCAAATATATAATAAGCTCCAAACTCGCTGTCTAGTCTAATCCCGGAATCAGGTGTCACAAGTGCATGAGCTGCTAAAAGTGCTATAATCAAAGGCCGAAATAAAAATACAACTGTCTGAATGAAATAAACAGTAATAAGATAAGAAGGGAACTTCAGGGTCTGCGATTGCCATGCAGCTCTACCTCAAGTCTCCAGATAATGACTGTCCGAAGCAGGTCTCCACTAGACACCAACACCAGAATCTGCACAAGAAGTCTAGAACTGTAATATGAGTACAACCAACCCCATGTACTCCCTAAGTACCGAGCCTAACCTCGACAAAGTAGTACCGAGGCTATAACAAGGCACTCACTATAAACAAGTACGAGTATAAGAAAAAACAATAATAGAATAGGGAAGTAACGACTAACATAAAT